GTAGGCATATAAAACTGATAAAAATACTGTTTAGATTAAGTGATATATTTTTGTTATTTATATATATATTTTCTTGATATGTTATTTTAAGACTTGGTAATTATAGATCTACATATAAAGTAAGCTAACAAAAATGTTTAATTTTAATTATAATATAATTACTTATATTTGAGAAAGAATATTCTAACAATATCAAGTTTAGATACGTTTTGATTCTAAAAGCCAAAAAAGAAATATTAAATGAAATTATACTGTTTATTGATCGATTTTTATCATATACATGTATTAAGAAAACGTGGTCTTAGTTGTCTATGTTTAATTAAATATAACCTTGTGTAACATCTCCAATAATCAATTGAGGTTTTAAATAGATTTCTTTTTTAAAGTAAATTATTTCTGTTAAAAATAATGGACACTCTGTAATATGCTCAGCAAAAAAACTTCACGATAAAAACACGATACGAAGTGGCGACTCTACACGGTCAAGAGACAACTACTACTTTACTTATAAATTCTCATTCTTCGAAACAATGTAGGAAGGGGTTTTCGTACAAAGATAGGCTGAAAAATTTTAAATATACTTCACTAGAAAATCGCAGAACACAGCTTGATCTTATCTTTTTAAACAAATTATTTAACAATAAAATAGATTGTCCTAATCTGTTAAGTAAATTTAGATTCAATGTACCGAATAAGCTACCTAGAACCCAAATCCAACCATTGGTTCCACCTTTACGCACAACAGTATTGGGCTCAAGCTCGTTTGTCCCCAGAGCGAGCCGACTTTTGAATAATTACGGAAAATCAACTGATATTCATGCTGTTAGTCTCAATACCTTTCGTAAGCACTTGCAAGAAACCATTGTCGATGAGTAGATTAGTGGTATAGCATGTATATTTTAATGAAGTCTCAAAAATTTTAAAAAAACTCTTTTTCACTACCTTTTTTTTTTTTTTTTTTTTTTAAATTGTATTCTGTACACATTTGTTATTGTTAAGCTTATTGGTGTTACTTGATACTTCGCATGTGGTGTTTACCTTTAATTAATTGTGCATTTAGCTATAGAAATATACTGTGTACTAATTCTAATGAATGTATAAATGTAACAATTGCTGGTAAACCAAATAAATAAAATAAAAAAAAAAAATAAATTCCGTGCGCCGAGTTCCGCAACCGGCCGCGTGAAAGTTTGGTGTAAAATTCACGTGTTAACGTATTGTCTAATCGTGCTTGTTAAAGAAGTCGGTAAATGGACGCCGTTTTTTAATCCTTGCATTATTGTACAAGTTATTACCAACGTGGAGGTGAAAATACCAGATAAAATCGTGTAAAAAAAAGTGTATGAAATAAAAACGATAAATCTTAGAAAGAAAATTTCAATAAATTATTGTGAGTATATTCGTGAAACAAATATTATTTTCTTGAAATGGACAACAAAACCAATTTTGACTCCGAAATACAATCAACTTAATAATTATTTTTTGCCCGTTTTAGTTTTAATCCTATTAGAGTAATATTTTCTATTACAATAATCACCATAAATCAACTCGAGTCTCTTTTTTTAATCACGCCGTTCCTACCTTAGGATAACATTTTCCTGAGTCATATTTTGTCCACAAATTGCGGATAGATCAACAGGTAAGGACAGATGGTATTTTTTCTTAAAACTTACACTAGTTGAAGTTACAAGCATTTTTATCATAATGTGGCCTCAAAGATAGAGGATTTAAACATCTAGAGAGACGGATACTGTAAAAAGACATCAACGAGTGAAATGAAAAAATCATTTTGTTATTTTCATTCACTATTCATATCCATTAAAATTTACATGCTGGGCGGAATGTTGTGTCATGTTTATCTAATTTTATTGTTGACATCTATCACTGGTTTACTTCTTAACATTTTTTTCTTTTCTAATTGTTATTTTGAAATAAAAAACTGTTAAAATGACCTGAAAACCTATATATGTAACAAAAAGAAGGATTCTTCTGTGCGTGTGTATGTGAATGAACTCCTACTAAACGGCTTAACCGATTTTGATGAAATTGTTGGATTCAAGAATGGTTATATTCAACAATTTTTTTGAAGTTAGATTCACAACTTCAAAAACACTGTTTCGGAGTTAAGACGTGTAGATGTCTGTCGGGTCCATTAATAAGAATATAAGAATACTAATAGCAGAAAACATGTGACTTAGTAAAACGCCTTATTTTATACCTTCCAATTAGTTTACAACATCTTTAAAGATAGACAACAATAAGAGGAAAAGAACTAAAGGAATTGAATATAAAAAAATATTTATATAAGTAACTATTTTTATAATATATAAGTCGCTAAGCAACAGATGCGAGAAAATTATCTTTCGAAATGGCATCTAATCCAACGCAGATAGAGCTCAAATAATTTGTGCTCCAAATAGGATGCCGATGACATAGATACAGAAAAACAATTATAATCTGTAAACACGTTTCTTCTTTTAGTCCAAACTGGTTATGTAAATATTTTCATAGTTTGACCTTCCACTTGTTACTTAAAAAATAATATTCGAAGAGAAAACAACGGACAAAACCGATATAAACGCTGCTTGGAAATTTTGAATGTGAACTATTATGACACAAAAGAAATACATTAAGCATAGATTTTCTATAGTTACAATAGTAAGAAAAAATTACAATGACGTAATATCATGTAACATACATATGTGGATTGTGATAATATATTTTTAATAATTATTACGTAATCTATGGCAATCATCGCATCATTTCCGAAAGATGTACTCCATCAATTAGGATAAAAAAAAGAATCATCGAAATCGGAAAAAAATACAGTCGAATTGAGAACCTTCTACTTTTTTGAAGTCTGTTAAAAATGAGTTATCGATGCCTCAAGAGCTGAGATGCTTTGACATAAATTCATAGTGATGACACCGACGTATTTTGAAAATCATATTGCGTACCACGGAAGATGCCCATTCGTCAAAATTACTTTGGCCGCCTGTCATTGCAACAAGTAAGTTTAACTCGAGAAACGTTACATTACGACTAGAGCAATAATAATTTATGTAAAATAATAGTATATACATTGCCTATTTTAGGATATGGTGTAAATCCTGGATAAATAATGGATAAACGAAGCATAATTTTATTTTTTAAAATATTATGGTTAATTAAAAACAGCGAACAACCAATGGGCCGAAATTCGTCTACAACGTCTACGTTTAATGAAAACAAATTAATTTTTAATTTTCCAATATTTTTTTCTACCCTTTACATTTCCTCATTGCATCTCTGAAATCATATACTTTTACGACCATTTACCCATAAAAACATTTCGGAGCGAAGAAAGATTTTATCCATTTAATTGTATAAAATAGCATCTTAAAGTGCAGATACTAGAGCTTTAAAAATAAAATAAATCATAAAAACAGTTCTCATTTACGTAACACTGTTGTAACGAATGTTGTTGCTAGATGAAAAAAATAGTTTACCAACACAGTAGAAAAATAAAATAACATATGAATAGATACAGCTATCCGATGTTACAAGATTGTAATGAACAAAACTTCGCATCGGCTATGTGTATCAAGGTCCGAATTGAATGTGTAACTAGTACAAAGCAACCGAGTAATGACTTAAGTAATGCGCATGTACATATCGTCGATATCTTTTCTAGCGCAGTTATGTGAACAAGTTACAAGCAAGGCACGGTGGTTTATGGAAGCAGAAATCAAAAATCTACTTCAGTATCTTCATACATTTAAGAGAGTAGTACTGACAAATGTCTGATCGTGTCTGTTTAAAATAACTGGCTCTAAAGAATACACCTCGTATCGTAGTAGGTAGGTTTTGAGACAAATTCATACACGGTAAATCACAGACAGTCTGAATTATTTGTGGGCAATATCATTTTTTGATCAATGGGATCGAACTTACAACAGCGGTGTATTGTCCATTTTCAAGGGTATATACAACTCAAACCATGGTAACATTCGTGGCATAAAAATAACAAAAATAAACAATAGTATTCATAGTAATTAGTATTTTAAAAATTTTATTGACCCCGACAATTATTATTCATGTTGATTTTTATAAGCCAATTCTTTTTATTCTTATATTTATAACCAATTAGCCAGTCAGTTAGGGCTTCTGAGTAGTGTTCTAGTTTTTATTTTCATCCGGGTTAGGAAACTAATCAGATGTTTTGTTAAATTTCGCGGTGTTAGAGTTAGTCTGAAATATTATAAATACGTTCAAAAATAATATTTTTTATCCTGGATATAAATAAAACAGCTTTTGAAATTTTTTGGTTATTTTTAAGAATATAATTTTATATGAAACAAAAGAAATAATTAGCTTTATTTATTTTATATACAAAACATCTAAAACTTGCAAAGATGATAAGTTATTAAAATAATAAAAAGGGTATTTTTTATTTAAAAACAGAAAAAAATATTTAACTAAAACGAATATACTGGTATCATTCAATGGAAATATTCCGTTTGTTCCGATTGTATTATTTAAAAGACACTGAAAATTATTTGTAGACTTTTCGTTACGAGAAAAGAGAGAAAGTTTGATGAGTCAGTGGCGCTGTTGGCAAGGTAATGGCTTCGGCGTCGGGGGTCTTGAATTCGATTCCCACACGGGACAACTATTTGTGTGACCCACAGATAGTTGTTTCGCATCTAGGTGTTTGTCCTAGTGAATTTTTTGTTTGTAAAACGTCCTTACAGCACAGGATAATGTTATCCTAATATAAGGACAATATTTTTTATAAAAAAAGAAGACAATGATTCTCATTTGATTATTTTTGTACTACCCACACGCTATGCCGTGATATGACAATATCATGCTTTTAATACTACCAGTGCCAATGAATATTCATTAATATTATTTTTATTAAAATATTATTGATCTGATAACAAGATTTGTAGAATAATTTATTATTAATGATAAAAATTAAATAAAATAATTTCTGCATTAAGGAAATAAAAACTTACCGCAAGAGAGACGACGAAAAGCAAATTGAAAAATACTACCGAAATCCGTGCAGCTTTCTATATATTTTGATGTACGGCAACACCGTTTTAATTAGTCAACTGATTTAACACTGGTCACTTTTACCAGTCCGTCGAACGTAAGAGGTGTTCGATGTTCGAACTGTGAGTTCGATTTTTAAAGTTGGCGTGGGGCGTTCGGAAACAGGCGAGTTGCCGCGTTCCGTGCTAAGCGGCGACTACGAACAGCACAAACTGCGGGCGAAACGTACGCGCGATTCTATAGCGTTCGTTCCCCCGCGCATCGGTCAACGCTGATCGAAAATGAGCGGGAGACCACTACTAGTTTTATTGATATTTACTTCAATTTCACGCACAACGCCACTCTTGTTCGCACGCGAATACAAAAGAGGCGAAGCGAACGAGATATGTATACTGGGAAATTATTAATCATCGTCACACGCTATTCTTACCACTTTACATGCATAATTACATATCTGTTGTTAACAGCACGCTAAACAAACGACAAACGTTACGGAGAATCGAGATTAACCATTTTTTACGGAGATTCCGTGCCGATCATTTCATAACATGGTTGAAGATGTAATTTCTCCGCTACGACGCTCGTTAAGACAACTCGAGTCACCAATATAATAAAAGGGGATGCCCACCAGTCATATCAACTTCAGCTACAAGTGCACACATAGAAAAGTATATAGGGATGACAATATGAAATATAAATATTAGTCCGGTTCCATGGGTAAGTAAAGTCAAATACTTAGGTGTCGTCTTTGACTCTAAGCTCAATTTCTGCCAGCACGTGACTCGATTCAGGAACCGGTTGGCCTTCGTACTAGGTCGCCTATATCCCCTTTTAAATAAAACTTCAAAAATGTCCCTTCGGAACAAGGTGACTTTATATAAGGCAGTAGTTCGCCCTATTACGACGTACGCAAGTCCGGTCTCCGCGCACATTGCTCCGAGGCAAATACATCGGCTTCAGGCCATCCAGAACCGATTTTTGCGCAGAGCTACGGGATCACCGTGGTTCATGTAGATTTAGCTGCCAACCATCGTTCAATTCCTGAAGTCGGGGTCGCGCCGCTACTTCGAGTCCGCCACCGCGCATCCCAATCCGTTAGTCGTAGGTGCCGTCACCTAGCTACCGCTAGGTACGTTCCGTCGCAATTGGCGCAGACACGACACGTACTCGATTTCCCTGACGATGAGACGACTATCGCAATCGACAGGATAAAACAATTACGCAAACACAACACTCACCGGCGAGTGCGGCAAACATATACTAGGTTCCGCCACGTACCTGGTAGGTTTTCCCCCGTTAACGAGAGAAGCGTTGCTGCAGTTTCTTCCACCACTTCTTCTCCCAGACCTAACGCTTTCCGAAGTGGTAGTAATGTTGGACCTAGAAATTCTTCCAGTCAGATAACAGCTACCTATTGAAGCGATGTTCGCGTTCTTGGGCACCTTCGAATTGGAATGCTAAACGGGTATTGAGTGACAACCCAAGCCGAGGTATATTGTAACAAATAGACAGATTATTATTAACCGGTTAAAAGTCGATTAAATCAAGTAAATTCGCTTCGTAATAAGTAATTGGCAACACTGATTCATAAACATTCAAATATGTCGTAATATTTTTGTAAAATATTATTGCAATACTTATTTTTTGTGTAATTTTTTGGATAAATAAATATTTTTATAAATAAAAATTCAAATGTAATGCAGGTACTTGAAGTTTATAAAAATACTAAATGTAAAAAAAGTAAAGTAAAGTAACAGCCTATACATGTCCCACTGCTGGGCAAAGGCCTCCTCTATACAGAGGGTATCAGGGCATAGTCCACCACGCGGCCCCACTGCGGATTGGCGGACTTCACGTATCTTCGAAAAAAAAAAAAATTTTGTTATTATTTCGAAAATATGCAGGTTTCCTCACGATGTTTTCGCGGAGCATGTGATAAGTCAGCACTTAAAGTTAAAAACTTCAATGGTGCCGGCACCGGGGATCGAACTCAGGTTGCTCGAGTATATTGAATTAAAGGCGAGCGCCCGGACACTGAGCTATCACGGCTCAAAAATACTAAATGGCGAGTCAACAAAGATTAATTCGAAATTAAACTTATTATGAGCGCCGATACTAAATTTATGAAACCAATGTGGCAACTTTGTCGGCTGCTTAACCCTACCAAATTAAATTTACGTGGGACACTCTGAAAGTTCTGAGAAATTAAAAAACTAACTTATTTTAATAAACTATTTTCAAAGAACGCTCCATCAACCTCTATACAAAGTTTCATTCGTCTGAACCAACCACTTTTACCAGTCCTTTCGAAGCATTTTACCAGTCCGCCGCAGACACTTTTACTACGTCCTGCTCAAACGCTGTAAGCGCGCCGAGACGAGCCTGTTTCAAATTTACTAATCATGTCACGGCACAATTCCACACGAGCCTGCTTGTGATCCTCGGTAAGGTTGTGCGGCACAACAGCGCGAAACTATCCAAACAAAAAAAATCTTGTGAACGCTTCCCGAACCAATCCCCAATTCGCCTGTTATCTTTATCTTAAATTATTTTTTTCGCTGCCAGCTCACTTTCTTCGCTAACAACCGTGGAAGTTCGACCACTTCTTTGTTCATCCCTCAGAGTTACACGACCGCGTTTGTATTCGTTATGCAAACAGTAGATGGTCCTTCATCCATAAATGCCATTTGAAGTCGAACAAACGACTCGTCCAGTTTAAAGCCACATTTGAAATCATAGAAAATCATCGAAACGAAACTGATCCCGATGCAGGTCCATTTTTATATGAGATACGATAATTCAACTTGGCTCTCAAAAATGAGGGATATTTAAAATTCGAACAATGTTTATTTAGTTTTAAATAATTAAATTTATTATAATAATTATAATCAGCCAGGGCCTCAAGCATAAAAACTTTTTTTTGCAAAACTATCTGAGTGGCCTGGTACATTTACAAATTGCCATGTAGGTAATCTAAAAGAACTTTTTCGGATTGGAACCTGTATTTCTATTTCAAAACTTTTAAACCGCTAAGTGTTATAAAAATGAACAAATAGCTACATGAAAATAATACAGAACTTTACAATGAATCAGCGCGTTCAACTTTAAAGCTTTCAAAACAAAAACATCGATAACAGTGATTTAATATACAACGGAGTACCGCAATGACAAATCTTGAAGGCCCAAATGTTAATCTGATGTCACTGCAAACAACATAGGACCTATGAAAAACCATACGGTAATATTTGATTACCCGTAGCACGCTTGTTGAATTCGTCACGCGCAATATTACAAAGCGTAATACCGGCAATCACAACCAAATCATCCTATGTTTATAAAGCTACTGATAGGTCAGTAACGCGAATGATTTTTTTGTTTGGCTATGCATACATTTCAATGCAATTTTAAATACTTATTAAAGAGGTTTTTTTTTAAGAGATTCTTACCATTAAATCCATCTAGGTTTTTATTTGGCTAGAGTACATTATCGTTACAAGCCTATCCGATCTAAGTTTTGAACAAATGCCTTTCTTCTTTTTACTAACGAGTCATTCGATTCACGGTGCGCGTCTAGTCTGATCAACGAAATTTTGATTTATCACGACTCTGTCTGGTGTCGGGTGTCAGTGTCGTTTGGCAAACGTTATGCAGCTTAGTGAGAGCAATCCTAATTCAAATTTTCCTTCTTTATGCTACATCAAACCAGTATCCGAATGCTCACTAAAAGTAATGTTGCCGGAATATTATTTTGAATAAGCAAATGGACGTTGTGGATTTGATCCATTAATTTTTTGGTCGTTTTCGGTTTGATCCATTAATTTGACACCAATTTTCTTTTCCTATGAAATTATTCTTCTGACTTCGATATACACCAAGCTTGTCCATAACTATGTACGTCAAAACGAAATGTATTCTTTTTTAGAGTTACACTTCATGATGAATAATGATCAGGAATCGAAAATGTCGACGATGAAAACATTTAACAATGTTCTATTTTTTAATATCTCTTGCTTCTGTTATGAAAACTTGCTTTTTAAGCAAATTTTTTCTTGTTAGCAAAGTATAAGACATATAAGGCTGTGACAAAATAAAATTAAAAATTTATATTTTTTTTTCTTATCACCGAGAGGCTGTAGACATTGGTATCCGACTGCAATTGCAACTTGGTACCTTTACCCGATTCGGGGAAAGTTAGCCTTAATAGTCAGAAAACCAATAGACTAATCAATAGTTGTACTAAATAAACCAACAGACTGAGGAAAAAGGAAATCTTTTTTTTGAAGTAAGCCTTAAAAAGTTCATTATATTAACGACCTATTAACAACGATGTTTAAAGATTATTATTAGACCCACATTCGTACAAACAAAAAAGAAACAGTGAATCCGTCATTCGCAAGGAATTCGTGTTATATAAACGGATTATAAATAAAATAAATGTTAACTACATTACCGAAGAATGTCACCTATATCAATAAGTTCACAATATGTGCAATTGTCACAGCTGTGTTGAAATAAAATCACCTTAAGAATAAAGTAATATGGAGAAGAAAAGAAAATACAGTTCACGTAGATACGCGGATATTAATGTAAATACTGGAGGATAATTTTGTCAAAGACCCAAATAAGGCAAAGTAAAAAAAAGAAGTTTTCTACAACCTGTAACAGAATTAGAAAATCTTCATTATTAAACATTTTTTTTTATTTAGTAAAACACCAAGTTATACTTTTTATAAAAACAATCGATACAATTTTGGCGGTGGCTTGACTTGACGTGTGGCCTTGATTCCCACGACCCTCCCCCTAAATCAGTGATTTCCAAAGTGGTCTATATCGACCCCTAGGGGTCTGTGACAACCTGCAAGGGTTCTACGTCAGCGAAAAAAAATTTGGGGGTCCATGAAATGAAAATGGGGGTCCACGATAGTGGATCTCAACACATACACTGATAGTACCTATTTACTTACATCATACTATCTTATAATATTTTATGTTTATTTAATGTTACGTATATTTTACATAACAGATACAAAATTTTATTTTGAGTAGTTTTAATTTAAATTCAATTAATAAATGTATGATTTAACATGTGTTTTTACTTCAAGTTTTTAACACTAAACTTCACTACAGTTAGAAATTTACAGGAAATCAATATCAGGTAAGTAGGGGGTCCCAACACGGAACAACATGGCAAGGGGTCTACGACACAAAAAAGTTTGGGGAACTCTGCCCTAGATCAACGCCTGGGCATATATAAAAATGTAT